CGAATCCAAAATTTCGGGAATGATCATTGAAGAATATGTACAAGTATATTTGTATGTGAGGTTTAAATTTAACAAAATAGGAATAAACCGATAATTAGGTATGTGAAACTTCGTATGCTGACAGCTTATTATCTCTGTTGGAACTTTTTCTACTGTATGAAACGTATTTAAGGCCTCTATTTTGAAAATTACGAACATGGTGAGTAAACGAAAATTTGACATTATGTATGGCTACCAAATATTCCAAATATCGACCAGCACACAGATGTTCGTGTTTAGTCTAGTTTGTGAATTTGTTGCACATTTAAACAAGCAGAAGTGGTTCACTTCCTGTTGTTCTGCACACACAGCCTGGTGCTAGTAGGTCTGTAATGTGTACGGTTTCTCATTGTATCTGTCGTCCAGCTGTCACTCTTGTCACTTCACGTAGCAGTAAAACACCTGCGCTCTGCTCCGTTGTTATGATGATAAGCACAGTGAAACTGCTTACAGCAGTCGTGTTCGTCCTCTTTAACTTTCTAAATGCGACACACAGTGGATTATTTAAACGGCGTTGCCTGAACACGACATGGAATTGTAAACCTGTCAGAGATTGAAGTTTATGTGGGTGAGGAACGTAGTTTGAGGGAGGACGTTTGACAACAGGGTTCCGAGGAGAATATTTGGACGATAGACGTTGATAGTAGCAGGAAGTTAAGAAAACTGCTAATCAGCACTGCTGCAAAGATCACTGTCTTATATGATGTTGCGCCACGTAGGTTCCTGCAAAATAACAGACATATCAGAGGTCTTACTGCCTTAGTCATCAGATCTGTCAGATTTTACTAAACTAAACGACGCAACAACCCAGTACTCACCTTCGTGAGAACATGAAATATCACTGTGAGTTTTATAATATGTAATTTTTACCAAATATTATTATGATAATTAGACCAAGGGCGTGGTATGGGCGTGTAGCACCCGTGGGAAAGTTGAGAAATGCGTAAAAAGCTTTGGTAATAAACCTTGAATGGAAGAGACCATTCGAAAGACTTAGGTTAGACGTGAGTATAATATTCAAATGGATCTTAAAAATTGGGTTGGGGTGTGGACTAAGTTATTCTAGTTTAGTGGCGGACTGTTGTAAAGAACTTTCAGGGCGCCATGAAAAGTTGGGAATTTCTTGACTACATGATCGACTGATAATTTCTCAAGAGAGACCCTGCTCTATCCATGCAAAGTTTGTGGCTTTGTGAAGAAACTGAAGTTTTACTCTTTGGATTCGCTGATGAGAATATTTGGGCAGCAGGAGAAGGAAAATTACGTAACGAGTAACTTCATAATTCATAATCATCATATAATAAGACTATGGTGGCTAAATCCAGGAAACTGGGAGGCAGTAAACCAAAAATGAGAGCAAACAAGAAATCTTCAAAAAATTGCTTTAGAGTTCGCTTGACAGGCTATCGGTTTGAAGTCCGAGAAGTAGCCAAGAAGACAATATTAAAATGGATGTTAAGGACATTTGAACCGGGTTAAACTGGCTCAGGATAGGATTCAGTGGTGGGATTTTTTCATGAATGCGATGAAGTTTCGGGTTTTACAATATGAATTCTTAGTGGATGATTGGACTATAAATAAAGTACCCGGGATAACCCTTTTGATTAGTGATCTATTTATATGAAGCCAGAAACGGAATCAGGACGTGAGAAATTACTAATTAATCCAGGTGGGGAAGTTGTTTTACATAGATTATTCTAGAATTTGTGAAGGAAATGCGAAGAAAGACGAGAATCTTCTGTGAGAGTAACTGGCCTCGAGACAAACTGTGAACGTGAGCACAAAGCAGACCAAAGAGTACCAATCTCTTCACTGCAGAGTTCGCGTAGCAGGTGCGTGTCGTGTCAATGGAAAGCGTTTATTTTATAGTCTTGTGATGGATGTTTTGAAATACGACTACATATATCCCGGAAATCTCCTGTTTGGAAAGGGGAAGGCGAATTGATTTGTAGGTTACGACGCTGTATCAAGTGCTGACATTATTGTTGATTCATTCGAAAATTATAAAACTTGTGATCAGTAGTAGGTTAGGTAGTGGAATGAAGTGATGGTGACGTATTTAAGATAACCATCCTGGCATTTACCAAAAAAAAAACCCCTGAGGAAATCCACGAAAACCTCATTTAAGATAGCCAGTAATCCGGACGAGATTCGAAATGAGTACCTGCCATCTTTACTGTACGTTAGGTTAGTATGGTGGGAACGAACTAAAGAAGCAGTCAATAATAATAATCAGTGTTGTACTTCATTACGTTTGTATACAATATCCCGTATTTGTAATGTGTTGCTATGTTTATGAAGGTCAATTTGTGTGCACTAATAAGTTATTACTAGCAATAGCAGTAAAAGGAGTACGAACTATTTATTTGGTTGTCTAGTTCAGACTAGCTGTTAAAATTACCATTTTGTTTCCAACTCATCCCAAAACCGAATAATCACTTTAGTTACGAAATGCCATCGAGATGGGTTTGTAAGACGAAATTGTACAGGAAACCAGGCAGTTATTTTCATCTGTGAGCGGTGTACCGTTCCTATCAAGATCGTCATGAAGACAAAGCAAGGTTCCAGCTTTCGTTCAAGAAAGGCGGTAATGAATAATTATTTATTTTTTAATTATGTGAGTGTCCTTGCATTTTTGTTTGCGTTTTGTTTAATTCTATTATACGTCATTAAAGGGCAGAGAATTTTTTTTCCTCTAGCCTCTGCGTCCAGACCGGATCTAGGGCCCACCCAGCCTCTTATCCAATGGGTATTGGGGTCCTTTCCTGGGTGTGACGCCGACCACTCACCCCATCTAGTGCTGAAGTTAAGAATGAGTAGGAGATCTACCTCCCAAAATTTAAGTAACTTTAGCAAAAGGGATCTATATTTTTGTAACAACTTATTACTACTAGTAAATTCCAATTGAAATTCAACTTGAAAATCACTGCCATGTGCGAATAAAACAATTTTAATTATTCTCCAGTTTGGATATTCATAACTCTGAAACGAGAATTATATTTATAAATCTTGCAAAATCAGGGGATCACTTAAATACAATTTTATCTTACGCGATGGAGAAACAACGCGTATGCTTTCATTCGGGGGATGCCCAGTTAAAATCTAATTCCAGGAATCGTCTACTCTGACTGAAGTGTTGTATTTTTTCCGGTCAGATTATGAGATAGCACCTTCACACGTCGCTACCAGTTCGTTTCCAGTCCAATTCACTCTCCATTCATTGTCATCCTCGTTTCTCTTTTAGAGTTAAGTAATGCAATGAGATTAAAACCACGCGGTTTGATTGCTTGAGCTTGGTAAGAAGGTCTAAGGCTAAGGACCCACTGGCGCGGCAGCCGCGCCGTGTCGCGTCAGTGGGTTTCGCACCTATAAAAAGCAATACAAATAACAGCCGCGCACGACAACACTCGACACGCCGCACGCGGCTAGTCGCGCCAGTGGGTCCCTAGCCTTAGTGCGTACGAGCTGTAGACTTCTTAGTAGGGCCCTGAATTTGTTAGATCTTTCGTTTGTCCGTGGGAAGACGTCACGGAATGGTTAAATTTGCGATTAGGTTTTCTAGTATGTGTTGTGGGTGTTCAAAGCTTTAATGCACTGGTCACCAGGTATATGTACGACAGTCGCGAATGTTACCAGTCGGAATAGTGACTTCGAGATTTGATTCCTACCGAGATCCAGTGCATGTTGTACTGGTTATGTATCTGTTAATGTACTAATATTATATCTGTTTTAGCTATAGTCTTAATTTATTTCCTTAAAATAGCTGGAGCGCACTGTTCAATAGCAACTAGGTGACTACCACAATGGTGAGGGACCCACAAAACGTAGATTTTAGTTAAGTTCCAGGCGGCATACCATCTGAAGTTGACTGTATTCTAGAGGCATTAAGCACTTCTGAAATGTTGGTCAGTTTCTGGTAGACTACGGGGTGCACCATCTCAGCAGTCAGTCATCTTCACACACGTCGCCGTGAGAACCTGAAATCTCAAGGATTACAGTCTATTTTCTCACAGATTACAGCCAGGTGGTTGGGGTTGGTGACGTTACATCACGTGTTGTTCGCACTTGATAAAAATACCTTCAGACTATTGTCTCTGTCCAGTTTTCGCTTCGACACGGACAATCCTCAACACTTGATACTACATCGGTATCTTGATCAGCTGGCTGTAATTTCTTCAGCTGTTTACCGACCAATTTTGCATTTGAGATCTAAATATATTTTTAAGTAACGGCGATGATGGCCTTATATCATACTTGTTTAATTGAACATGGAACTGTGAGCCACACTTCCTCGGAAGTTTTAATTTTATAACAGTACCTTTGGGTTGGAGGGTGCTGACATTTGGGTACAAACTGACAAACATTATATCTTACTTTTAATTTTCCAAATGATGTTCTGAAGCCTAAAGATTGTTACCAACCTCATTTTGTTCCATTGGGTGACCATCAAAGACTGTGGAATGCCATTTTTAAATGTCCTTTGTGCACTGGCTTGTCCTTACCGCCACTTTTGTGGTATGTTCGCTCAATGAAAGTGTTCAAGTGATAGGCTGTGTATTTCTGTTACTGGTAATGGTGCTGTACATGCTGCTAGACAGCAGAGCCATACATACAGATTGATAGTTGAGAGAAGTCTTATAGATTAAAATATATTGGTTTTACCAAAATCTTGTTACATTGGGCCCACATTTCCACTGATCAAGGACAGAGCTCAATTCCTCAGTTAGCTGCTGTAGTTTATGTAGATGCTTTGGATTTATGTATATCTTTGGTTCAGCTCCAAAGATGCATTGATGATATTTAATTCACAGTGGCAAAGTTTCTTCAAATCATTTTATTGGTTCAGAAGTTTTGTGGTAAAGTTAACAGTTGAAGAGAACAGTTTTACTGTCATTAAAGTCTTCTGTGTACAAATAAATAGGGTTTGTAATATTTGTTGTTGCTTGGTCTGTTATCACCAGAAGCTGGTGTCCACCTGGAAGCGTTACTGGTTTGTGCTAAAAGATCAACTACTTCTGTACTACAAGTCCCAGCTGGAATGCCTGAACCTCTCAGCTTGTCGTGGTTCCCTCAACATGGGGCTAGTGTCCTGTGTGCGTCCTGGGGCTCACAGAGGCCATCCTGCAACCGGGACTCATGGATATACAATAGAAGTAGTAACAAGAACACAGGTTGTCATTCTTGTAAGTTTGAGAATTTCATTTTTTGAATTGATGTTCAGCCAGAAACTACATGAATTTGTAAAATATAATATTCTTCTGATGCTTATAAGCGTAACATCATTTTATTTTAAGTGTTAGGCAGTTATAGATGTTTTAATTTTATAGTTCCGGAATAAACTTCAGAAACTCAATAAATGAAACTGACATGGTCCGTGGTGTAAGGAATTTAGAATAAACTGAATTTCATCTTATAGGGTTCTTGTGATACTTTTTAGCGAACGAAGGATCGTGGCTTGCAGGAGCAATGGTTGAAAGTTCTTCTTGAATCAATGGCTCTTCCCAACATTTCAACCCCAGTTAGAACTGGTGGAGGACCGGTTCACTTCCGATATTCCTTGGAGAATCTGCCTGTAAGTTGAAGAGGTATATATTCTTGTTTAAAGAGCACTTATGCACTAAAAAATTTGCGTCTCAGTTTCTTATTTATTGTGTCAGAACCATTGTACCTCCATGATAAATTGATACCTATTATCACGGCATGGCATATTCTAGATGGAGAAGTGGGGGGGGGGGGGGGGGGGGGGTGGGGTATATGTGAACATACTGAATACGCAATTTCAGTTACTAAGTCCTTCAGCCAAGAACCTCTTACTGTGAAGAACCAGCTTATTACAAAATGTTACATCGGGCCTTGTACTTGGTGGTCTCTTGTGAATACTTTAATGAACCTTTAGGGTCCATGAAATGGGGAATTTCTTGAGTAACTGAGTATAGTGTAATTTTCTCAAGAAGAATACTGCTGCATAAAGTTAGAACCAATCAGCTTTCTGTTTATTCTTAGACTTATTTATTTTTATAAAATGCATCTATACTTCACAAAACAAACTTCGTTTCATTTCATTTTATTGCAGGGATAAAAGTACACTTATTTCGTTTTGAGGTTCTTAAATATTATCACTTTCCCATTGCAACACACTCAATTTACTTCACTGTAGTGACTGTATCACATGCTCTATTAACAAACTAATTTCTTGGAGCAGAGTCCTTGATAAGATGGTAAAAGTTAGGATTTGAGGTTCTCACAGTGGGGAGTATGAAGATGACTGTCTTGTGGTCTTCTGGGTTGTTGCGCCATGTAGTCTGGTAGAAGTATACTGATGCTTCAGAGGTCCTTGCTGACTCCATCATCGGGGCAATGATGGAGGCAGCAAGGACCTCTGAAGCATCAGTATACTTCTACCAGACCACATGGCGCAACAACCCAGAAGACAGCAATCTTCATTTGGCCATTTATTTTTGTATTTGTAGATGAACTTTTAAAAATATTTGTACTGACTTTATGGAAGCCATGTTAATGTTCCTGCTTTATATCCAGGAAGTGTCATTAAAATTTGGGCCCAATGTTTGGCTGTTTTCTGTACTTGTTTTAGGCATACACTTGGAAAGTACATTAACATAGGCCACGACTGCTCCCTTCTGCACCCCTTCTAACATGTGATTAAAAACTTTCCTTACATAGATGATAATGAAAATCCATCTGATAATGCACATACACACATGACTGCTGTTTTCATAAATCTTGAAAGTGATTTTCGTTGCAATGTATTATTTCAACAGGTTATATAAAATAATGGCATTTAACAAATGAAGGCACAGAGAAAAAGAAACTAGAAAAATGAAATCCATCTATTTGGGTATATGCTCTCCTTTTATATGCTGCACAAAGGTAACGTGATTACAGCCAACTCAGAGCGTCTTCAAAGAATTAAGTTTTTAGATATAAGTTGGGAAACAAAGATTCTGAAGCAAATGGTGGCAGGTATTTCCAAAATTTAATCTAATTTTAACTCAATCTTAAATGCGATGTGTACATGTTATACGCACGTGCATATGCGTTACTCTTGTTATGAAATATTTTCATTCTGACACAGGTTTTAACAATTTGATATCTTTACTGCGAGTTTGTCATGCATTCATATGACAAGACATGATATATTGTTAAAGGGTTTTAATTTCTTGTGTATGTACTTGAATAAAACTTTTTGAAAGAAGTAAACATACCACCATTTTTGTTTATAAAAAAATCATATTATATTTTTAATTGTAAATAGTACCCTCAAATCTGAAGTGGGAGCCTGCATGTGGTGCTTTATGATTGTGAACTGTTAAGTGAATAGTCTGTTGCCCACATGATCTGAATGTGTTTCCATTCCTTATTGTTTTGTGTATATGTTTCAGCTAGAGGCAGAAGACAAAGAAAAACAGAAAACTTTGCCTCACCATACCACAGTTGCACGCAATAATAGTGTGCTTGGGCGTATTAAACGTATGGGCGGTCGCTCTTATGGAGGAAGTCTGGATACAATCCTAAAACATAATCCCAGCCAAGAGGTGCAACATCGGTCCCCACAGCAACCAAATATCCCACGAATTAAGGCTGTAGATAGAATGTTAGGATTACAGCAGAAAGACGAACAGGAAATTGAAGATGATAGAGAAGGACAGTGCTTAAACAATTATGAATACACTGAAGTTCTGAAAAGTACAGCTGACAGCACTGACTTTGAAAATGAAGATCAGTGCCATAAGGACTCTACAAATTTACTTTCAAAAGACAGAATTTTGAAGTTAGATGGTGGAGAGGAAATTGAATGTAGTGATGATTCATCACAAAGACTTGTAGCCATTGCATCAGGCTCACATGAAATAAAGGAAATTAACTTTAAATTAAGAAATGATGAGACTAACCGAGAAATAACTGATGAAAGTAAAAATCACGAAATATTCAATGTCATGTGTATAGAAGACGCAAAGAAATTGACTACTAATTTCCTTGAAAACCAGAGATTTGTTTCTTCCTTAGAAAGTGAAGAAGTAATGTTTGTTGAAAACAAACTATATGAGAAGACTGAGGAGATAGGAAATGGTGATGAAAATAAAATTGAAAACAAAGTCAACAAAAAGACTAGTCATGTTGAAGCAGATGAAGAGTATGATTCTGAAGAGGAACTTAGTAGATTACAACACAGGGTTTCAGAAGATGAAAAAATGTATGAAGTTGTGCCAGTTAATATAGATGAAATGAAACAAGTTCAGAAAGACACAGAAGATATGGAGGAAGATGATTACTACTGCAGCTATGACAAATTTTCACTGATTCATTCATTGCCTGATCAAAACAACGGCTCCTCCCCAGAACCTGATTTACCCCCTCGTCCATCTGTGGGTAGTAGTGATTCAAATAAAAGTCAACTTAAGCATCAGGATACTAAAACTGAGGATGAAGGAGCAGACTACAGTACATATTATGAAAGTACTGAAAGTTACAATACCAGCACTTCATCATCACAGTTTTTATCATCTGGTGGAGATGGCACTCCATCTAAAATCAAGGGTTCCAAATTACATGGTAGAATTAAATTTAAGAAAAAGGATTCACCATCCAAGGAATCAGTTACCTTGGGGGATGCAAGTAGTAATGGTAAAAAAAAGCGGAAAACAAGTTTTCTACGCCGTATGTTGAAGCATCATCATAAGAAGCCAGAATCTAATTCACAGACTCTTATAACTTCTGATAACTGTAGTGATGAACCTGAATATGAAACTGTTGACTATTCAGTTCCCACATTGAAACAAGATGTTGCTGAGGAGAAGCAGCAGCCAGAGCATGCTGCTAGACATAACAGCACTGAGAGTTTAGACAAAGAAGTGCCTAAAGATAAGTGGTATGGAACAAAGAGCCTACTGACAGAACAGGCGATGCTTGAATTGAAGATGAAACTGAAGGTCCGAGATGATTCAGCTGTTTCTACGAATCAGGTGAGCATGGAACAACACTTAGCCTCTATTCTTCAATTATACTGTATTTTCTTTTTCATTCTTTTTAAGCACAGAGATTATTGGTGTTTTAAAAGCACATAACTCTTGTCTTAAGGTATGTTGAAAGTAAAATGCATTTATTCCAGCTTTTCTTTTTATGATGTTTGTATTTAGTTGTTTAAAGTTATGCAATCTGATGTACACTGTGCAGCAATGATGAAGTACTGAAAAGTCCCAAAGCGGAAGTGATGTAAATGTACTCTTGGTGTTGTAATTCCAGTGTTTCATGATATTGTGTTTTTCTGTGCAGCTTTTTTGTACCTGCCATTAATTAAAATTGTTTATGTGCGATGTCTAATGTCTAAGCAAATGTACCAATATGCCTGCCTAATTTGAAGCTAAACATGAATACTGTAAATTACTTTTCTGAGACAATACATCGAAGTTTCATGTTAAAGTGGGGTGAAAGTTTTACTTGGTTGTGATATTTGTAAGAAAATGATCAGTTGTTTTGTCTTTAAAACATACACACTCCAGTAACTTATTTAATGAGAAGAAAGTACTCTTCAGTCTGCCTTAGCATTCACATTACACTGCATTATTTGTGCTGCAGTGGTGAGGCTAGAAGTTCGAAGGAAGCAGGTATTATTTTATTTCCTGTGATTAGTTGTTAATTGGCATTTTAATTTAAAGGTTTTATGTCTGAATCTGTCTACATAAATAATTTTACTTGAAAACACATACACTTTAGAAAGGATTTTATTTCATAAAGTATATGAATTCCTTATATAAATTTAAATTAAAATGTTAGCTCTTAAAAGGGCTGTTTTAAAGATCTGACATCTTTAATAAGATATCCAGAATATTTGAGCAACAGCCATGGATCTCATTCATTTTAGCATGGTATCAGTACAACATTGAAATGAAGTAACTTAACCGTTTAGTGACCTTATATCATTATTTTAATTTTATGGTCCATTTGTTACTTTTGACATGTTATTTGAGGTGGACATTAGTGTGGTTTATTTCTTATGTAATGGAGACTTGGAGGTTTTCATGTACTCTAATTGCTGCCATGTGTACTCTTGTCTGTTTGTTTAAAAGTGCAACAGCAAGTTACCCTTGCAGTATGGGGTTGTTGTTTGAATATTGTTTTATATCCATTCCTTCTCCATTCTCAATAATATTGCTCACCGTGATGGATCTATTTGTGAGCAAGTAATTTGTCTTATTAAAAATGGCAACACTCTAGGTGAACATTATGATATTCCATGGTCCATGACAAGAGCATGGCTATAGAAATACTAGATGAATGGACAAATTAAAAGTCACCGAGGAAATAGGTTATGGCACATATTCAGTCAAGCTCAGGGTGCTACAACTTGGAAAAGTCTTTTACATTAATTCACTTTTCCCTTCAAATTAAGCAGAAGTATTATGGCACTGTTTTATAGAAATTGAACATAAGTAATTTTAGATAGTGGAGAATAGAGGAAAGCCACATTTGGAAAAAAAATTTATGAATGACTAGAATTTTTATGCCAGCTATACGCTTGCTTACATCACTTCTGGTTTGGGACTTAGCTTTATTAAATAAAGCTATTTGGTGAGATTGTGGTAAATATTGTCAAGTATTACTGAACTGGTTATACATTTTTACTCTTTCAATTCCCTTTTAAAATTATTATACATAATATAAATTTTTTAAATTCTTTTTACATATGATTTGTATACTTGCATGAGGGCTATGTATTATATTGTGTACAGGATATTTTATATAATAAGTATGAGCATACACACACACACACACACATGCACATGTGCATGCTGTAAACAGAAATATTTGTTTTATATAAAAATTTATGACAGTTTCTAATCTTAATTTTATGATACCTTTCTGTTTAATACACTTGGAGTCAACATCATAAGTATAATCTTAACATTGCATTTCTTTCCTGTCACTAGTATGAACTTCAGAATTCATGTTTGCCCTTGACTTGGTCTCTTGTGTTATATTGCATTTCATGAGGTACACAGGAGGTGAAGAAATTTATGGTTCTATTTGATGTTGATTGGTAAATATTTTCAAATGTTGGACTGCTGTATACCCTCAGAAACTTAGGAGATCCAGGGAACCACTTTCATGATTCTAGTCTATGAAATGACAAAAGCCATACTTATGATTTGGGTGAATAGTTGCTTACCATGAATTCATCTATGAAGTCAGGCAAATAACCAGACTGCATTAGTGTGTGTGTGCGTGCGTGCGCGTGTGCACGCTTACATGTACTCATGCATGTACACACACTCACAGGACACACAACACAGACAAGGCACTTACAGTCAATGAATATAGTCAGTTTTAACATTTTGCCATATCTAATAATTTGATTGAAATCATTCTGTTGGTATGATTTGTTGTTACAACATGGCTTGGAATATCTTCAAGTTGTTAAAAATGAAACTGGATAATGTGGTTGCATAAATATAATGAAATGAGGTGAGTGCAGTGGATATTCAAATGAAGTATTTCCTTATTGGCAAAAATCACTTTACCAATAGTGTGTAGCTTCTCTATGTGTTTTCAAGAAGTGATGTTCTTCTGGGTTTTTGGTGCAATGCCAACGTGGTCTGTATATGATTCCAAAACTCAGATCATGATCATGAAAACCTGAGATTTTAAGAAGTTTTGTTGGTGGTACTTTACACCAAAACTAGCCACACAAATGTAATCTTGATTAATACTGATTCACTATAACCCATACTTTACATCAAGATGTAAAATATTTCTAAATGCTTCAAAAGTAGAAAATTGTGCAGTAATGTAGTCAAATGATTTTCATACATCTGCAGAATTTTCAGATTTTATTTAATTTATTTTGGTTTTGTTACTATCCCATTATATTAAGATGAATGCAGAATTTTAGTTTAGTATGTTATAGTATAATATTTTACAGGATATTGGGTATGAATGCATTTCATCAAATGAAGTGTCTGAGAAGAAGCCTGTTCCTACTCCAAGATCAAGAAAGCAAAATTCCAATCAA